TTTGCTGAATTGATGCTCTGGCTGTAACTGCAAAACGCAACATTGAATAAAAGCAGGCAAGAAGAAAAATCAAGTCAACTCAAGATGACAAGGAACTCTTAAAAATGGTAGATGCAGAACCACCAGAGTTTCCTGAGATCACTCCATTCAAAGGAGGATGGGGGAAAGTTTAAGCAGTGATTTCTACCCCAACACAGGTAATGCTGTGTGGAGAGGGATATGCATCCCAGGAGTCCTCGGTTAGGCATCTTTTTCTAGCTAGAAATGAACAGGTGGAGTCCAAAGTCTTTGAGAACTGTTTACCCAAAAGACTAAAAAAGGAAGGAGTTTTTTATTGCACAAAGTTAGACTTGGCCATGAGAACAGTAGTGGTGAAGAAGAAAGATGAAATTAAGGAGTAGTAGACAAAGTGGAGAAAGTATAGACCACTGGAAGAATCACTGCCCTGATCAGCCCATCGAGTAAGTTTGATCCGATTGTAAAAATGGTATCAAAAGCATCGGGCATCCAAGGCTTTTTAAGGAACAAGAGCTACTCCACAGTATGAAGAGTTTAGAGAGGAATTGGAAAAGAATAGGAGAGTTAAATAGAGAAATAAAAGCCTTCCAGGACTGGACCTTAATCAGAAAAATCAGGTGGACATGCCCAGTGAAAGTGATGATGAAACTGAGGTAAAGAAAGAGGTAATTGAGATATCGGGAAAAAAAATTAGCTGATGAGGAAAATGAAGGCAATGACGCAAAAGTGGACAGTAATAAAGAGGACTTTGGGGGGGGGGGGGGGGGACCAGCATGATGAAGAGTCAAGGGATGAAGACTCAACACCACTGCTCAAGGGAATAATAAGCTCAACGATGAAAAGACTGACTGATCAGTTTTAAAGAAAGACTCTGCTCTTTCAAAAAGATAAATTAAGCAATTAGTTTTACCTAGGTACATGCGATTTGTAAAAATTGTAGAGATTGTCTGTGTTGTTAATCCTGTGTAAATCAGCAATGTCAGTAATTTGTAAAGTAAAAATTCCCCTGCAAATTACCTACTATATTTTGCAGAACTCTGAGGTCTTATGATAATATACAAATAGGCATCTCTGTGATTTGAACAGGAATGGGCTGAATCTGATATATAATTAGGCAGTTTTTGTTGCCTGGGTGCATTTTTATTTGCTTTTAGTTAAGAAGTTTGTGGCCAGAACTATCAAGTTGGGGCTTTTTACAGTTTTTGACAGGGTATTAAATTAGGCGTTTCTATATTGAATTATAATCTATAATGTCATATACAGATATTACTCAATTTGGTTAAAGAGAAAAAAAACGTCATCGACCAGTAGACGAGGACAAACACAGTTGCTAATTTAGGTGGTAACTAAAGCTGTCTGCTTCACAGTAATATGTTTTACATTTAATATTTATGATTGACAGTTGTTGAACAGTAAATTATGTCTAAGGAACACCTGTCACTGCATGTCACTTATAGGTATTATTTGTCAACCATTTTTGTTTAGAAAGTTTTCTTTATTCAAAAAAAGTTGGTGTAATAAGGTAGATGAGCAGCCTAGACATGCTATTTGCTAGCCTGTCCAATGCTAACGCCAGCCTATCCTTGTCAATGGACAGTGGAGGGAGCTGGATATCCAGTGGGTCACTAGCCCAGGCTTACTAGTCGCTAACCTCTCCAATGCTAACAAAAATGAATAGTCTCCTCCTTATTTGCCAGCATCTGTCTCTCAGTTACCGGGGCCAGCTGCTCAGTTATCTGTGTCGGCCTATCATTAATCAGATCAATAGCTGGTTTATGAATAAATATGCCTCCTGCTACAAGGATGTAGCAACCGCTGGTTGTGCACTAGTCTTAATTTTGGCCCTCATACGCCATAGATGTGTGTGTGGAAACTGGTGCACATACTGTACATTTTTTTATACATACTCACCATTTATACTTGAGATTCCAGGTCCAGTCCTAAATCACTAGGTCCTATCTTTATGGAAAATGCACAGGGGTTGTTCCAAGACACAATCGGAGACAGCCTATTGATTTGTATGTGCTATATTTATATGTAGTGGAATATGGCTGGTATATTACGATGAGCGTAGGTGTACTGTTTGAGTAGAACTCAATATATTGAGTGTTTGTCATGTGCTGTGCTTAGGGAGGGAGGAGCGTTCAGAGAAAGGAGGAATAGACAGAGGAGGATGAGCGTTAGGGGAAGGGTCAGGAATGGTTGGGGTTGTGGTCTGGTAGGTGTATATAGGATGTTTACGGTGTTTTCAATCCTAGTGTTAGGGTTAAAGTTTGGTCTCCTACTAGTGATTTTAAAAATGCCTTAACATAAAACTATTAGTGCTTTAAAGGAGGGTAAGAATTACTATTCCATTTATTTATTATTTCCAGCTTTTTTTTCCTGCAATATTTTACAAAATGTCAGAGAAAATATGGAAATAACAAATTAAAATCCAAACAAACTGATTAATCTTAAACAAAATTAAATGATTTCATTTTCTCTGCATTATTCTTCTTTTTTTTTCAATTAAAACAAAAAAAACCTTCCATCAAAGCAGGCAGTGGCAAAAGCTGGCATAGGTGCACTGAATATTTAAAAGTGAAGGACAATAACACACAGAACAAAAGGCAGACAGCAAGGAGAGTTGAAGTAAAGGCTCAGTGATGGATAACTCTGACAAACAGTGAGACACTGATTTATAAAAAAGGGTCAAACCATGTGAAAATATGTAAATGTGTTTCCACAAACACAGGAAAAACATTGATGTTCGAGTACAGACAACAAACTTTAAATCTTTTGGGTGACATCTTCGCACTACAGAAGTAATTCATTCATGTACACAAGAAAATGAGTTTGAGACAGACACACTTGCTTAAGAATATTATTGCTAATGTTGAAGTAGACACTTTTCCTACAGGGAAATCCATTTTTTATTTCTGATATTTTAAGTTTTCTGCATGTGGCAATGTTACATGTCACATCGACACCTACTTAATTACTTTGTGGCAAATTCATTGTTAACTTATTAAAAAGATTTAAGAGATAACATATTTGCAAGAAAAACTAAACTAATTATTCTGGGTTGATTTTTCCTAATGCTTATAGTGACAATGAGCTTTAAACATAAGAATGTTAACATTGTTGTAGTTATTTTCTCCTTGTTCAAAACAAAAAGGCTGTCATTTAAACATGCACAGTGACTAATGAGTTCACTTTTGACAGTTTGGATTGTAAGGTCCAGTCCAGCCTGAGTTCAAACCCAGGTTCTGTAGCTTAGCATTTACTATTATGGCCCACCAGACTTATTTCTGGAACTCAGACTGGCCAGGTAGCTGGGGCCAATTTGACTTCATCTCGCTGTGTTTCAGCTGGTCTTAAATTTTATACAGAATGCAGGCTTGATGTTGTCCATTGTTGTGTTGCAAATAAAATGGCGTTACATAAAGACTTGTGCGTTTTGGATATGATGATCCTTTTCCACGTTGAGGTGGCACTCTGCTCAAAGCAAACACAACAAGGGCTGGGGTAGAACAAGGCCAGGCTGACTGTGGCCAGGCCGGGCTGGGCATTAAAATGCAAAAAAGATTTTTTCATCTTAGATTTGTACAGTCTTCAGAATTTCGAGCAATTTCACAGTGCTTGTTAATTTCCTTTCGTGAGTTGCAAAGGAAGCCGTCTTGTCTTTGAGTTTTGAAAGAGTCAAAAAGAAAAGTGCGACAGATTTACTCTCAAAATAGAATTGTTGAGTTGAATTGGCTCTCTCCTGACAGAAAACAAGCCAGTAATGCATAATATTTATTTTAAAAACTTGTTAAAATTCAACCTATCTTTATTTCAGAAGTTTACTCCAGTAGATTAAATCATAAATGTTGGGGTGGCAGCAAATATGGGTACAAAGTCAGTCAAGGCAACTAAGATGTAGGTAGGGATTGACAACATAATAATGTGCTTGACCAAGAATACAGCTTTGCACACACACAAATAGGCCATAATTGTCAAAAGCTGGTTCTGTCTCTAGAAAAATCTGCTGAGCTGTATTTGTGTTTCACTAACAGCTCATGATCAGTAAAAACAATCTGTCAGTATTTATTAAAACTTTCAACTGATTGTGATTTTTCTATTTTCTTACTTTTAGTGTCGATGTTAGCACAGTGATTAGTTGTTTTTAAATGTTTAAATGTTCAGTGGGTTCTGTTCTAAAACAAAAGATTAACATTATCACAAGTACAGCCGCACAATTCTTTGGAAAAAAAATTACTGTGTATTCATGCATATTTAATCAAATTTCTAATAAAACTAGCATTCCTTGATGGAATTCATATCACCAGCTTCCTTACATAACATGTTCTGTTCTTGCAGTATGTGTTGAGGTTGATCCTAAAGTACTAGCACATTCAATTTTAGATCATATCTGTTAAATTGACAGAAAAATAGCTTTTTGTGTTTAAGTTGAATTTGCTATGAGAGACATAATATTGCTAGAGAGACAAAAACAAGGGGACGTCGAGCTCCGCTTGCACTCACTACAAACACATAACACCAAAAAACCACAGCCAAAGCATCCAAACCAATAAGTCAGTTGATGGGGCACATGACACTCTATGAATAGAGCTAATCAAGCCTATTGTTAGGCGATGGCCCTCTTTTGCATGTGARTAAATAYAMCTAAWKAAGCCTATTGTTAGGCGATGGCCCTCTTTTGCATGTGACTAACCTGTTTGTCCATGTGGAGGCAGTGCTTATAAGGCTGAGTTCACCTGAAACTCCTCAGACTGAAGAAGTCTCTTGGAGGAGAGACAAAATGTTTCACTAAGGAAGAACCCATCCAGAGGACCTACTTATTTATTTCTTTTTGATTTTTTCTACCTGGATTATTGAGATGCATCAGGACATTAATTTGCTATGGCTGCTTTAGTTGAATTCAAACAAACAAAACTACTTGTCAGACAAGGCTTTGGCATTTCAATCAGAAGAGGCAGCCCTGTGAATCCTTCACCCACCTTTCTTGTAGTCAGGTATGCTGTCTTTGAGCAGGCAGCTAAGCTGGTGGCCATTGAGATGAAGGAAGCGAAGCTGATCTCGGATGGAGCTCTCCTCCAACACACCCGGGATGACATGGCCAACACTGTTCTGAGAAATGGGGAGGCCCAGTCCCAGGGCCAGTGTAGGAGTCAGGTCAACCTGCTCCACCACTCCAGGATTCTCCATGCCCACTTGAGTGATAGAGAACAAGCACAGAGGAAGCACAACAGTGACTCTTGCTAAACATGTGATAGTTGCAGTGTTTCTTTGTCTTGTAATACAACCCCTGGCAAAAAGTATGGAATCACCAGTCTTGGATGAGCACTCATTCAGACATTTCATTCTGTAAAACAAACTCAGATCAAAAACATGGTACAATAATAAGGTCATTCCAAAGTGCAACTTGTTGGCTTTCAGGAACACTCAAAGAAATGAAGAGAAAACATTGTGGAAGTCAGTGAATGTTATTTTTATTGACCAAGAACAGGGGGAAAAAATATGGAATCACTCAATTCTGAGGAAAAAATTATGGAATCATGAAAAACAGATAAACAAAAGACCATTCAAAATACATCACTAGTATTTAGTTGCACCACCTTTGGCTTTTATAACGGCTTGCGGTCTCTGAGGCATGGACTTGATGAGTGACAAACAGTATTTTTCATTAATTTGGTGCCAACTCTCTTTGATAGCAGTTGCTAGATCAGCTTTGCAGGTTGGAGTCTTCTTGTGGACCTTTTCTTTCAATTTCCACCAGAGGTTTTCAATTGGGTTGAGATCTGGACTATTTGCAGGCCATAACATCGGCTGAATGTGTCTTTCTCCAAGGAATGCCTTCACTGTTTTTGCCCTATGCATTGTCATCTTGGAAAATTATTTCATCACCTCCAAACATCTGTTCAATTGAAGGGATGAGAAAACTGTCCAAAATGTCAATGTAAACTTGTGCATTGAGCATCATCACCTTGTCCAATGCAGATTCTTGACTCATCACTGAAGATAACTTTCATCCAGTCATCCACAGTCCATGATTGCCTCTCCTTAGCCCATTGCAGTCTTGTTCTTTTTTGTTTAGGTGTCAGTGATGGTTTTCTTTTAGCTTTCCTGTATTGAAATCCCATTTCCTTTAGGCAGTTTCTTAGGGTTCGGTCACATACGTACATTGACTCCAGCTTCCTCCCATTATGCTTCATCTGTTTAGTTGTACTTTTTCAGTTTTCAAGACAAATGGCCTTAAGTTGTTTGTCTTGATGCTTTGATGTCTTTCTTGGTCTACCAGTACGCTTGGCTTTAACAACCATTCCATGCTGTTTGTATTTGGTCCATATCTTGGATACAGCTGATTGTGAACAGCTCACATATTTAGCAACCATGCATGAAGAGTTACCTTCTTCTAGAAGTTTCACAATCCTCTCTTTTGTTTCAAGAGACATGTCTCTTGTTGGAGCCATGGTTCTTGCACTCCACTTTGTCCAGCAGCCCTCCTAGGTGTCATGACTGCAGGTGTTTTTAACTGCAGACTAACAAGCAGATCTAATCTGAGGCAGGTGTCCATTTAGGGAAAGGAAATTGACCGAGTGTGTCCTTATTTTCTACCTCCAATTTGAGCGATTCCATACTTTTTTCCTCAAAATTGAGTGATTCTATATGTTTTTCCTTGTGCTTGGTCAATAAAAGTAACATTCACTGACTTCCACAATGTTTTCTCTTTGTTTCTTTGAGTGTTCCTGAAAGCCAACAAGTTGCACTTTGGAATGACCTTATTATTGTAWCATGTTTTTGATCTGAGTTTGTGTTACAGAATGAAATGTCTGAATGAGTGCTCATCCAAGACTGATGATTCCATACTTTTTGCCAGGGGTTGTATTATGACACTATGTTTGCTTTACAATAAAAGCTCTGTCCAGCACAGTAAGTTTTTACTGAAATTGTTGAAGCTTTAGTTGGTTGCATGAGTATTTTGGTCTGTTTTGTTACAACCTGGAGGTATAAAAATTGTAATTTTCAAGTGGTTGTGTTTTTAATACTTTTGTGAATTGTATAGACATGTTTTTAGATTCTATTTTTGTCGGAAAAAGACGCAAAATAAACATGCACCTACGGCGGGTCCATTAGCTCTTCAAATATTTCCTTAAAGTTAATTTTATTGTTTTGTGTTAATTTCAATCTAATTTTGCATCTGTTTAGCATCGTCACAGTTGCTAGGTGACAGCACGTACACCGGGGTAAGGACGGGAAGCTAGACCGTCCAAATTCACAGCCACTTTTTTCCGGTCTTCCCAGTCTACCAAGGACCATTTTGGACACAGCCACTGTCTAAAGCCCTGAAACATTCCAACACTTTCAGGACCTTGGAAAGTTCCTTCAGCCCCACACACTGTCTAAAACAGTGATTCCCAAACAGGGGTATGCGAGCATATTAAAGGGGGTACGTGGAAAAATTTCCCAGGAGTGTAAAAAATAAATAAAAATAGGACTAATATGTAGGGCCCTATGATTTCCACAATGCAGAAATTGCAGATGGAATCACGGAATTAACACAAAATGGAATCCAGTATAAAACATGGAATCTCAAAGAATTTGCTTGTTTGGGTGAGTTTCTGACACATTTTGGACAATACAATGTATTTTGGATGCTGCTATTACCTGATTTATTTATTTAATTACTTATTCACTTCCAAGGCAACATTTTATCTTTGTTTAATTTGAGTTGAAAAAATAAAATGCCCGAAAATTAAACATTCTAGGGAGTTAAATACATAATTTTCATTTATTAAACAGTTGTAGTACATTATAGTTTTGGAGAAACACCATTATGTTTGACTGAGGGGGTAGTGGTATGACAAAATGTCTCAGGGGGTACACACGTCTAAAAAGGTTGGGAACCACTGAAACATTCCAGCACTTTCAGTACCTTGGACAGTTCCTTCAGCCCCACACACTGCACAATCACACACACACACACACACACACACACACACACACACACACACTGTATATATATATAT